AGAGAACAAGAGAGAGACTGGTAAGTCAAACGGGATAAATGTTAACTAGGAAATCTGGATAGAGTTTATAGGACTTCTCTGTCCTAGTCTTACAACTTTTTTGTAAGTTTGGAATTATCTCAAAATAAAAGTTTTTTGAAAAGCTACCGTGACAAAGGCAAGAATAGCAGACCTGAAGGCATGCGTTCTCTCCCAGGCAGGGAGCCCCGCTTCATATTAGTACAAAACGAACATCTCCTTTCAAATCCAATCCTTCATTAATTTCTTTTCTTCTCTAGCCATAAAGAAACTATACTCTAAAAGTTGAAGAAAACAGCACTGCAAGCCCAGCCCAAAGATAAGAGCATACTGTAGACAACCTAACAGATTTTTTTTCAAGACAAGAGTAACCCCTTGTGGAGGACTTTGAAAATAAATCATTTTAACCTATGAGAATTTGCTATCGAAATGTTAGAAAGCCCCTATTACAGTTAATAATTTAGAGCCACTAAAGACAATTTTACAATGAAATAAATAATAAACATTACCCACATTGAAAGCCAAAAGTCTGTTAATGTAATAAGACAATAGTGCCAAAGAACTACACCATCTCCTTTAACTTTCAACACGCTCGTACCCTCAGACTGCTCTGCCGTTTCACCTGCTGTCCGATCTCCTTGAGAATCTCCTGTAAACTCATGATTCTCCTCCTTATCAGCTACTTCTCAAACCTCCTCTCCTGATTTCTCTTCCCGGTGCCTACAGTTGCCTGTCTCTGGCCTTTCCCTCACTCTTGAATTATTCCTAAGAAATTTCATAGTAATCTATAATTATCATTTAATATACAAAAAATTTTACATCCCTAGATTTGACCTTCTTTCAAATTGCATTTGCAACTCACTGTTGGAAGATCACGTCTTGTGTCCTGGCAGCAACTCGAAACCAGCATATCCAAAACAGAATTTTATTGTCTTAACTCTAAAATCTCTTCTTCCTTCTAACATGCTCTCGATCTTATTAACAGCACCTCTCTCCTCAATCACCCAAGCCACAAACACCAATGATATTTCCAATTCGTCTCTTCACTGTTCCACGCCCAACCAGTGAGCAAGTCCTATCAATGTATTTCAAAAAGCGTCTCATCTATCATTTTCATTTCTTTAGTACCTCACCATCTCGCACTTAGACTACTACAAAAACCTCTAAATTATCTCCCTGCTAATACAGTACCTGATTCTAATCTACCGTTTACGCTGCTATCAGAATGATATTCCTAAAACAAATTTCTAACTGTATTACTTCCCTGCTCAAAAAGGTTGGATGGTTGAACTCAATCCTCTGTGCTGTATATATATGTATATTAATATATACAGGAAGGAAGGGAGGGAGGGTGGCTCTTCATTCTCAAAATAAAATTCAACCTGTTCAGGCTCCTTCCACACTATGAGACAAAGCTTCACTCTCACATATTTACACTCCAGTTACAATAAACTAACATGACCAACTGTTCCCATATCCCAGGCCTTCACGCATCTAGGCCCTTGCTCTAACTGTCTCTCAAATTCAAATATCCCTTCACCAACTTTAGTCTAAAATGCCACCTTCTCCATGAAACTGGCTCTAGACTTCTAACAGGAATCAGTCGTTTCCACCAATCTGTGCTTCCGAAGGACTTTGTACCTCCATCACAACACTGCCCATATATCCACCTTTTTACTATGTCCATGTTTCCCACCACATTATAAATTCCATGAGCATGGACACTGTGTCAGATGCATTTGTTTAACCCTCCCAAGCACCCAGAAAAGTGTCTTAAGCATGGCAGGGTCTTGAACAATGTAGAACAAAACTGAACATACCTGCTGGCAGCTCTCTAAATCGTAGATATTCCATAGACCTTGTAGTCACAAGTGGCTTTTGAGGATAATAGAGAACGTGGGCCAGTGTGTCCATACGAACGTGAAAGTTGGTGATATAAACTCCCATAGCCTGCTTACCCATAGCAGACTGGTATGTGTTTCTAGGGGACTGAGGGTAGAAATGAAAAACAGAAAATCAATGAAAATTTAGTATCTCTACAGGAAAAGACTGTGACAATAAATCAGAAATACGATTGGTAAAGTTTCTATTTCCTAAAAAA